CCTCCCGCCTAAGGCCCCACGCACACTAGGCAAGCATGTCGCTGCTGAGTTACACCTGGGGGCCCCCTCTCCTTTTGGCATCCTTCCACTGAGAACATGGGGTCTCCAGCCTCATTGTCGTCATCCAAAGAAGAAATGTGAGGTTTGCTAGTGTGTCCCATGAGAGAAAAAACGTAGCTTCAAAATGTTTGGTGAGGCAGGAAATTCCTGTCTTCCCCCTAAAGGGACAAATGCCTTCTATTTTTCTTGAGGCTTCCTTTGTAAATAGGTGTAAATGCTGGGTGGCATCTCAGCTGCATGGTTATTCTGAGCTGAGGTCTCATCGCTGTCCCCGTGCCCCTCATAGAGGGGTTTTGAGAGGGTGCATTGTCATGCCTGGGCTTCACTGTCCTGTATGGGTGGCTGCCCTAATCTCAGGGGTCAGGGATGAAATGTGGGTCCTCCTTTATATTTTCCAGGGCCTTGCCACTGAGCTGCATCCCCAGATGTTCTTATTTTTTATTTTGAGACAGGGTCTCATTACGTCACTAACTTGCCCAGGGTGGGCTTCAATTTGTGGTCCTCCTACCTCAGCCTCCCAGAGTGCTAGGATTACAGGGATGTGTTGTGGGTCCTCCTCGAGATGGCAGGAAGATGCTTCTTTCTCCGCCTACCTGCCCAGCTCCCCTGTGGTTAGAGCAGTGGGCCTGTAGGTCAGGGTCCCTGCGCATTGCCCAGTTCAAGGAATTTGCCGTGTGCATGGGAAGCCTTGAGTCCTGTGACTGAAGCTTTGCCCAGAGCCAGGCGTCCTGACTCCCAGAGGATGCTCACCCTGTCTCACCTCTAGCACTGCTTTGCCTTGTGGGTGTGTCTGGGTTGGTGAGGTTTACAGGAGAAAGCAGTGCAGTGCCCTGCCTTGGCACCCGAGGACCGCCTCCTCTAGCCCCACCTGCTCCCCCGACTCCCCTGCATTTCAGAGCCCCAGAGTGGGCCTTCTGAGAGGCAGGGCTGGGGCGAGCCTTGTTATCTGGCCCCTCCCCCACTTCCTCTTTCTTATAACTAGAAATGGGTGCTAGATGGTATCTAGAAAGAGATGACTCGGGCGTCAGTCTAGATGTGGAAATTGTGTGTGTGCCCTATTACTTCTCTAAATGATGAGTGTGACATAGAACTCTGCTGTTTTTGGTAACCACAGCCTCTGCCTCTTTAGATCCCTTGGGTTTAGGTTTTTGGTAGGACATGTGGTTTCTGCGTAAACCTCCTGGGGAGAGGGGAGTTACTTGTGCAGGGGGCCAGCCCCTGGAGGCCGAAGTACTGTGCGGAGGGCTGCTGTGAGTGTGGAGGTAAACCTTTTCTGAGAAAATTCCAACGGGGGAACCAGCCCCGGGGCAGAACTGGCCTGAGCAAGCCTGGCAGCAGCCCGCCCAGGACCTGGCGCACTCTGCCTGGCTCTCCCCGCAGGCCTGGTGTGAGACACTGCTGCCTTTCAGAGTGCCTTCCTCTTCGGGAGTGTAAAATGGGCAGTTGGAGGCTGTGCCCATGTGGCCCCTGCGGCACCGTGAATCGGTGAAACCTAATTGGCTTCCAGCTCCTTCTCCTCTCTGACAGTAATAAACCTGTCAGCACACGGATTAAACAGGAAGCCAACGCAGAAATGCCTTCAGCAACTCTTGAACTGGGGCCCTGGTGAGACATTCTCAGGACGGCTGCCTGGCAGAGAGACCTCGCTGAGAGATATAGCCAGTCCCAGGCTCTCAGGCCACACAGCCTGTCCTGCTAGGTGACTTCTTCAGGGCAGATTGGAGGAGGGTGGCTGATGACCCCTGCGTGGACCCTGTGTACAGTGTATCCTCTGGACTGGCCCTCGAGGCCCTCCCAAGATTTTCTGTTGAGTGTGGGTCTTGACAGGTCTGCGGTGTGCATCTGCTCATGGTTCTCTTTGCCTGAGCTGCCTCCCCTCTAAGTTCCTTTTGAATTCTACCAGTTTTTCGATTCCTGTTGAAGGTAGGCTGCTATAAAGCCACCTGGTAGCAGGTATCACCTGCTCCCCTGAGTGACTTGAAGCACATTCCATATATTTTGACATTTAATTAACTTTAGCATTTCTGCTCTTGTTGTTCTTAGATAATTCCAGGTATGTAAATTGGTGAAGTGAAGCTGGGTGTGCTGGTGCATGCCTGGAATCCCAGCACTTGGGAGGCTGAGGCAGGAGGATTGTTGCAAGTTTGACATCAGCCTGGGCTACAAAGTGAGCTCAAGGCCAGTCTGAACTGCATAATGAGAACCTGTCTCAAAAAGAGAGAAAAAAGAAATTGGTGAGGTGACGGTGACTGTGACCGTGACTGGAAGGTGGGACTGCCTGGTTCTTGGTGTGTATTGCCATGGTCTGTGGCGAGTGCTCCCAGCAAGGCTTGAATTAGCCTCCTTCCTGTTGGACATTTGCCCTCGGCTGGTTGCCTTGTGCTGAGGAGTGTTTCCTTTCCTCACTTTCCTCTTTGGGAGCTGGTTTACAGCTCTCGGCCTGTGTGAAGGCTGTGTGAGGACTGACCATGGGGTGTGGGGGGCACAGGTACTGCCCTGGCTCTTTCCCAGGTGGTCTGAAAGGCAGGCGAGGCCTTCTGAGGCAGCTGATCGCGGATGTGCTGCTGTGGCTTCCACTGTGGGGGACCTGCTTCACTCCTGAATGTTAGACGCCCATCTCGTGGAGGCTTCAGATTGCTAGGCTGCTTTGCAGACTTTTTCCCATTGTCTTACAGTTTCTCCTGGACAAAGGGTCCTTCTTTTTCCCTCTTAGGCCGGTCAAGTATGTAGCTCATTGTTGGGGAAGTTGAGGCAGCAATCTCTCACTCACATGCCAAGCCTTTCCCCTGTGAGCAGATACCCATGAGTGTCAGCGCCCCGCTAGAGACCAGCTAGCGGGAGGGGGGCTGCTGCTTTCCCACCTCTGTGCTGGGTGGCTGAGGCCAGGTCTGTCCAGTCTTCCCATGACCCAGAGAGCAGGCGCCTTCTGCCATTGACTAAGGCTTTCTTGGCAGTGGGTTGGCCATGAAGGACTGGTGGGCTTTCTGGGAAGCACAGCTGTGGGCCGTCTGGCGTCTGTAGGGCCATTTAGGAGCCCTGGGAAGACTCAGCGCTTTATCATGAAGCCAGCAGTGAAGTCATCTTCCTGGAATTTGTGGCCATTCATGCTTAGGGTGTTTGAGTACCCTTTCCCCAGAGTCCTGTGGCGGTCATACCTGAGGGGGATGTTCTGCTGTTGTGTGCAGGACTGGAACTGAAAGCAGGGTAGGGTTTGGTGGGGCTCTGGGTGTGCAGGTGCGGAGATGTGGCTCTAGGCGCAGCGCCGCAGTCCTCTAGTCTCACCTCAGTAGAGCGTGTGGTCAGTGCTGGCCAGAGGCGGGCTGTGACCCCCAGCAAGGAAGTGGCTATGGCAGAGGGGCCCGTCACCATTGCCAGCATCTCATCACATAGAGGGCTCCTTTCCTCAGCCTGCTCCTACTCCAGATTTTCTCTTCAAATCTTATTTTTTTCCCCCCTTTTTTGCAATAGTGGAGATTGAACCCAGGGCCCTTGCAGTGAGCTACATCCTCAACCCTTTTTTATTTTTTATTTGGAGACAGGGTTTCACTAAGTCACTAAATTGCTGAGGCTGGGCTTGAACCTGTGATCATCCTGCCTCAACTTTCCAGAATGCTGGGATTATAGGCATATGCTGTCATACCCAGCCAGATCTGAGTGGTTTTTTTTGAGACAGGTACTTTCTATGTAGCCCAAGCTGGCCTTGAACTCACTGTGGAGCCCAGGCTGGCCTTAAACTCTCAGTGATCCTCCTGCCTCTGTCTCCCGAGGCTGGCATTGCAAACGTGTACCATCACACCCTGATAGATCTGAGTTTTTTTGTTTTTAAAGATCTTAGTGTTAAAAAGGACTGTTTCTCCAGTGTTTTCCTTGAACAGAAGTCATGTTCATCTCATGAGTCATATGGCTGGGGTCTGTGTAGTAGCACTCAGACTTTTACCAGACCTCTCCTTTTAGGTATCTGCATGTGAATTTCCTTTTTTTTTTTTAAAGGTGGATTTGTTAAGAGGTAGTATTAACCAGATGGTCGCTTTTGTGAGTTTACTCATAGTTACTGTAAATTTGGTCCCTGAGTTGTTTGGAATTAAAGTTTGGGGTTTCTCCTTTGGCATGGGCAGATTGCTCAACAGTAGGCTCCTTAAGGTGTTAGGGGAGAGGGCCAGAGGGAAAAGTGGTTAGGCTCCCTCTTGCCTTTCCTCCTTCCTTGCTCAGTACTGGGATGGAATCTAGGGCTTTCACAGAGCTGCAAGCCCCCCCTGCCCCGAGTTTGAGACAAGAGCTTGCGAAGTTGTGGAATCAGGTTGGGTGAGTTGCCCAGGCTGGGTTTAAATTTGCAGTTTTCCTGCCTCAGCCTCTCGGATGTTGGGATTACAGATGTGCACCACCACACCCAGTTTGGGCTATTATTTGTTTATTTATTGGTTTTATTTTGATTTTTTTTTTTTCTTCCTGTACCAGGAATTGAACTCACGACCTCACGCTTGCCAGGCAGGCACTGTGCCACTGAGCTAAATTCCCAGCCCCTATTAGTTTTATTTTGAGACAGGGTCTTACTTTGTAGATCACACTGGCCTTGAACTCACAGCAGTCCTCCTGTATTAGCTTCTCAAGTGCTGGGATTACAGGCATGTGCCATCATGCTCGGCTTACCTTTTCTTCTTTTTCTTTGTCCTTTTGAAACAGAGTCTTGCTATACAGTTCAGGCTGCCCTTGAGCTTACTTTGTAGCTCAGGTGGGTCTCGAACTTTCAGTGATCCTCCTGCCTCAGCCTCCTGAGTGCTGGGATTACAGGTGTGCACCACCACACCCAGCTTAGCTCACTTTTTAAAATATTGTAGGCAGTATGAAATTGGCCAGAAGAAAACCTCTTCTCCCGACCACACAAGAGAAGCATCTGCAGAGATACTGAAGAGGGTAACCCATTTGTGTGTTTCTTTAACCAGGTCACCATGGCTGTTATTGGCTCCCTTGTTGTCCCCAGCCGTTCCCCAGGTCACTTCCCCACCTTGCTGCCTCTGCCCAGAGGGCGTGCACAGGTTCCAGTGGATCAGAAACCTGGTTCCCGAGTTTGGTGTCTCCAGCTCTCACGTCAGAGTCCTCTCTTCCCCGGTAGAGTTCTTCGAGCTCATGAAGGTAAGTTGTGTTTAGAGACGGAGGACAGAAGTTGGAATTGGGAGCCGGGCATGGTGCCTGTAGTCCCAGCATTCTAGGAGCTGAGGCATGGGTACCCAAGTTTGCATCCAGCCTGGGCACTCAGTGACTCACACTGTATCTCAAATTAAGTAAAAAGGACCAGGGCTGGGCATGATAATACATACCTGTAATTCTGGCACGCACAAGGCCGAGGCAGGACAATCACTGAGTTTGAAGGCAGCCTGAATTACATAAGAGACCCTGTCTGAAAAAAAAAAAGTTAGCAAAAAGAACTAGGGATGAAGTTGAGTGTGAAGGCCTCAAGTTCAAGCTTCAGTAGCACATGCACATGCAGGTGCACACACACACACCTGTGCACGTGTGCACACATGCACAGGAAGTCGGGGTTGGAGGTTTTGGGGGATGGGGTGGGTAAATCCCTCCATTTGAGAGCATCTGATGCTACTCACTTTAGCCTTTTGGCTTCTGCCTGTCGGATTTTGGCTTCACCATGACTGAGTTGGACCACAAGCAGCAGCTTCCCTGCCTTGTGCTGCGTGCCTGAGGGAGTCAGTGAGTACCGGGTTTCACTAAGTCACCTCTGGTCGGTGTAGGGTGGAAACGCAGCCAAGCACAGTGGTGCCATTTGGTCGATGCAGTAGAGAGACCCATGGGGGGTGAGGTGCTGGCAGCACCCCGCGCCACTCAGAAGAGGCATCTCAGGGTAGCTGGGAAATGTGAAAGCCTTGGTCTTAGATCTCCTGGTCCTGGTCTTCTGGGGTTCTGTCAGAGGAGCGTGCCATCCTCTTCAGCAGTGGAGCCATCTGTGCTTTGGGGTTCAGCTTTCAACATGTTCCTCACATTTACATGCGACGTCTCGTTGTTTGCGGCCGAAGTGCTAATTGGAATGAAGTGATTCAACACTTACTAATCTTGAACATCATAAACTCTCCCCGTTCATGTTAGCAGCGATGCTAGAATGAAGACCTGATGCGATCAGGCAGGCTGGGAGAGTGCTGGGAGATGCTAGGAGACAGAGGTGGAGATTCGTCTTTGTGCAGAGAGAGCTGTTGAATGCCTGCTTGTTTTTCCTCTTTTTGCTGTCTCGATGTGTTGGTCCACCTTTAGCTTCATTTCTGGCCAGCTGGCTGATTCCAGAAGGGATTCTGCATGTGTGTGTGTGTGTGCGCGCGTGCACGGGACCTGCCACCTTGTCCTCCCCCTCACTTACCTGCCTGCACACTTGTCTGTCCAATGTGTCCTGGTTTGTGAGGATGGTACTGCAGCGTGTTCTGTATGCCTACTTGGTTGTCTCGTTGGTGTGAAGAAATAGGATTTTCCAAGCCAGTTCTTCTCCATGTCCTAGTGGACCCTGGGTGAGGGACTGACTGTCTTTACGTGGTCCACAGCCAGTAGCCAGGCCCTGGCATGGATCTCTGTGGTGTGTGTGGGTCTGCAGAAGCAGGGAAGGGCTGAGAGGTTTGTGGGGGGAGGCTGAGAAGAAGCCTAGCTGTTTTACCTGTTCTTTTTACAAATTTTATTTTATTTTTTGTTTTGTTTTTGTTTTTCTTCCAGTACCAGGAATCGAACTCACGACCTTGCACTTGCCAGGCAGGCGCTGTGCTACTGAGCTAAATCCCCAGCCCCTATTTTATTTTTTTAATAAATTTTATTTTTGAGACACCTTGAGCTTCTGTCCTTCTACCTTAGCCTCTGGAGTAATGCCCTGCACCATCCCTTTGGGTGGAGAAGTGTCACGAGTTGTGTGTGCCTCCTTCCCTGTCACCTCACTCTGTATCCTTGGGGGTTGACCTCTGATGGCGCTATTCTCTCTGTCCTTGCTACACCTGCCTGGAGCTCTGAAGACGGGGTCTGTTCTCCTTGTTGAGCAAGGTCAGGGGAGAGGATGCTGGTGTTGGGATAGCATTGTACTGTGTCACGTTCGGGTGTGACCGTGTTCTGTTTATGTGTCTGTGTACTTCTCTGTCTACATTTCAAAAGTGGCACCTGCTCATTATAAGCAGCCCAGCCACACAGGTGGGTGGAAAGGGTACAGAACGCAGTGGGCTCCCCTTCCTGCCCACTGTGCTCCTTGGAGGCCCTTCTCGGCAGTACAGTAAGCGTTCTTTGTGCTCCTGAAGACTTATGTGTACGCTGGCATGTGCTCGGCCTTGTGCACAGGGTGTGGGTGTGGACAGGTGGGGCACGGTTTGCATTCTGTTCAGTGATTTGCTTTTGTCTTCTCCCAGTGCCACATGGAACATTCATGTCAGTGTATACATATTTTCAGTCTTTAAAATAGGTGCCTCTCATCTGTAGTAGGGCTGCAGTGTGCCTACTTTGAGGACTAGATATTTAAAAACAGGATTGTGAGTCTTTAGGCAGTAAGTTACCATATGCTTTTTTCTTTTGTACTGGGAATGGAACTCACTATCTTGTGCTTGCTAGGCAGTTGCTATGCCCCTGAGCTATATCACTGGCCCACTTTTTTTTTTGAAACAGTGTCTTACTGTGCAGTTCAGGCTGGACTTGAACTCACTATATAGCCCAGGTTGGGCTTCAACTCACAGTGGTTCTCTTTTGTTTTTGGTACCAGAAATCGAACTCAGGACCTTGCGCTTGCCAGGCAAGTGCTTGTGCCACTGAGCTATGTCCCGGGCCCCGCAGTAATCTTCTTGCCTCAGCCTCATGAGTGCTGGGATTCTAGGTGTGCACCACACCCTGCACCATGTACATTTTAAGCTTCTTTTTTTTTTTTTTTTTTTTTTGGTCTTTTTGAGACAGGGTCTCACTATGCACCTCAGGCTGGCCTTGAGCTCACTTTGTGGCCCAGGCTGGCCTCCAACTTGCAATGATCTTCCTGCTTCAGCCTCCAGAGTGCTGGGATTGCAGGTGTGCTCCACCAGGCCCGACCTTCATTTAAATTTGAGGTGGTGAAGACATAGGCTAGTTCAGCTTCGAGTATAATTTGTCTCCAAGGTTGAAGGATCATGGTTTTTCAGTGAACTATGAAAATGACAAATGTAAGTTTTGAGTTGTTTCTCCTCTTTCAGGGGCAGATAAAAGTAGCCAAGAGGCGGGTCGTGATGGCGTCTCTCTACCTGGGCATAGGACCTTTGGAACAGGAACTGGTAAGATTCACATGGAGCAGACTGGTCTTAAAGCGTTGGCGCTGCACAGTGTTCTCTGGGCTTTGTTTTTTGTACTGGTGATCGAACCCAGGGCCTTCTCACTGAGCTACATCCTCAACTCCTTTTTATGTTTGAGACATGTCTGGGTAAGTTGCCCAGGTGGGGCTTGAATTAGCAGACCTGCCTCAGCCTCCCAAAGTGCTAGAACGATAGGCATGTGCCACTGTGCTCTTTGGGGTTGTTTCAAATATTAATTGGTGAAGACACAGGGTAGTTGGCTGTGACTTGGCTCCGTGCAAGGTTCTTCCTTTCCTTGGCCTCTGCTTCACAGCTAGCTCTTGTTCCAGTTGCCCAGCTGCGGGGCCTGTCAGGAGGGAGTGAGGAGGCCTCATCAGGTGCTGGCCAGTGTCTCCCTCCCCTTGCACAGGGCTCTTGGGGCTGCTCTGTCTGTCAGGGTGAGACTTGCAGATGGCAGCCCTCAGACCCAGTCTGGCCTGCTGCCTGCTGCCTGCTGCCTGCTTGTGTTTGTTTGTTTCTTTTTTTTTTTTGGTATTTTTGAGACAAGGTCTCACTATGCAGTTCAGGCTGGCCTTGAGCTCACTTTGGAGCCCAGGCTGGTCTTGAACTTGCTATGATCCTCCTGCCTCCTCCCCTCAAGTGCTGGGATTATAAGCATGAGCTACCACGCCTGGCTTTGTTGTATTGCTTGGTGACAGGGTCTTGCTATATAGCCTCAGCCTTCCACGTGCTGGGGTTACAGGTGTGTGTCACTGTGCCTGACTCACACTGACTACTTTTATATGGCCTGTGAGCTTAGGGTGACTTACATGTTTTCAAATGATTGGAAAAAACCAAGGAAAAGAAAAAAATGGAAACAAAACTTTTGTAAATCAGGATGGGAAAAGGAGTTGAGAGGAGGGGAATGGGAAAAAAAGAAGCAGCAAGATATATCATGTACAGGTACAAACTCCCTTTGATGAATATTATTATGTGTATCTAAAATGTATCAATAAAATAAAAAGTTAAGACTTTTGTGATTCATGTAAAGTATACAAAATTTGCTTTTCCATGTCCATCAGTAAAGTATTATTGGAGCACAGCCACTAAGCATTGTGTATTGTCCATGGCTGCTGTCTAGGAGACAACTGTGCAGAAGTACGAGACTTTCTGGCCGACAAAGCCCAAAGTGTTTACCCGACAGCCCTTTTCAGCAAAAGGTTTCTGACCCCGTTCCAAACAAAGGAACCCAAACGGAGGTTGGGCTGGCCAGCTGGCTGAGTTTGCCAACGCTGGCACTGGGTGCCATGTCTGGGCCAGTCTTGTCCTACCTGGACTTGCTGGCTTGCCACACCTGTCACTTACAGTGAGGCAGGGCAGGGCGCGAAGAAGCTGAACACGCCAGGTCGCCAGGTTTGTGCTCGTCCAGGGACTCTAGCTGTGCTAGTCCAGGAACTCTTAACTGTACCAGCAGCATGTGAAGTGAAGGGAGTTTGGAGATTACTTTGTCTCCAGGACCGCTTTCTAGGGGAGGGAAGGAAGTGGGCCTGCTGCCCATGTAAGTGTTGCTTGTTGGTTTATTGGTGTTTAGAAGTCAGAGGCAGGAGCTGGGCAGTAACGGAGGGCTTGGGATATGGAGATGGCAGGAAAGGCATCTTAGCCCCTAAGTGCTGCTCCTTCCCTGCCTCTGTGGAAGGTGGCCTACCTCTGTTTCCAGGTCATACTCTTAGCTGCACGCTTATGCTCATGGGAGAGGGATTTAAGGTCCAGCCTGTGGAGCAGGGCCAGTAGGCAGGTTACATTTTGGATTTATTCACCAGTCCATATTTGCCGAGTGCTCTTCACGAATGAGGTACCGTTTATTGTGTATCTGTGAGGATTATCTGTCTGTTGAAATGTGTGTGGGAGTTAGTGTCTTAGAGAGCGTTTCCAAGAGTGTGGCAAGGCTCAGGCTGCAGTCTGTGCCCAGCAGCCTCAGGCACAGGCTTCAGAGGCATCCGTGGGTCTCCTCATCGTCATTCCTGGGGCCCTCTCTTGCAGAGCTTTTGTAGTGTCAGCTCTTGAGTGCTAATGTATGTGTGTGTACAGGTGCTCAGAGAGGATGGTGAGGGTGTTAGCTGACGGATTTATTAGTCTTTTTAAATGTGCACATATCTTTTTGACCTTACTTCTGTTCCTTTGGGTTCTTTTCTTTTTTTTTTTTTTTTTTGGTTTTTTGGTTTTTCTCCGGTACTGGGAACCGAACTCACGACCTTGCGCTTGCCAGGCAGGCGCTTTGCCACTGAGCTAAATCCCCAGCCCCTTCGGTTCTTTTCTTGACAGGTGGATTGTCTGGAAAGTACTCTAGAAAAGTCACTGCAAGCAAAGTTTCCGTCTGACCTCAAGGTTTCCATTCTCCTGGACTTTACCAGGGGCTCAAGAGGTAGGTATTCTGTGTGCCTGGCCCCTTCCTCTTCCTAGCTCAGATCCTCAGTGTGAGGAGTTACACCATTACACAGTTACTCCAGCCCGGGTGGAGACCAGGCCGGGGACTGCCTGCTTGTGTGGAGGCCTTGGGTGGCTGGGGCCCACATCCCCAGCATACCTTGTCCATCATTCCCAGTGTCCCCTGTCCATTAGAAGAGTCTGCTTCCCTGGGAACCAGGCCAAAGGCTGCCAGGAACTACAGGTCTAGCTCTGAATTAGTTGTCGTCAGGGGCTTGGAGTTCTCTGAGCAGCTCCTCTGCAGGCCTGCATGTTCTGAATGCTGAGTCATCCTCACTCGGAGCAGGAAGGCTGATAGTGGAGGTGGTGTGGTGACCCTAGGAGAGAGTTGAGTAAGTGAGAGGGAATGGGTGCTGGGTGGCAAAAATAGTAGGTGTCTGCTCCCCTGGGCACTCTGGTCCTGCCCTGAGATTGTGCCAGGTGGGTGTCCAGAGGTCCTCTGGCTGTAAGCAGCACCAGTTGGTGTGCTGATTCAGACACAGCACAGGGCAAGTGAGCCCCACTTGGAGGTGGTTCCTCCCTGGCAGGCAGAACGTCTTTCTGGTACCAGTCTCAGGCCACCTTCTCTTTCATATCCAGGCAGGAAGAACTCTCGTACGATGCTGCTGCCCCTCCTGCAGAGATTTCCAGAGCAGGTCCGAGTCTCCCTCTTCCACACTCCAAATCTCCGTGGACTTCTCCGACTCCTCATCCCTGAGCGCTTCAATGAGACCATTGGCCTCCAGCACATCAAAGTGTACCTCTTTGACAACAATGTTATCTTGAGTGGGTGAGTTTGCATCTTCCATTGGTGACTTCACTATATGCTCTCTAGGGAGGAGTCTGCACCAATGAGAAAGGACAACCCATTCTCTAGGGCCTTGCAGGACCTGCTGTGTGCTGGCTGTAGATGCTCAGCCTCCTCCATGGTCCCCTCTTTGTCATGGGAGCTGGAGCCTGCAGAGGCTGATGGGGGCACAGCTGGCATTGTTTGAGTACTTCCTGGTGTTAGCTGCTGTGTTAAGCCTATGTCTTATTCAGTTCTCACAGTGACTCTTAAGTATTTTCCTTGCCTTATTATTATTATTATTATTATTATTATTTTTTGGTACCACTAATTGAACTCATGACCTCATGCTTGCCAGACAGGGGCTATGCCGTTGAGCTATATCTCTGGCCCTGTTTTCCTTACTTTATATATGGATAAACAGAGCATGAATAACTTTTAGACAGAGTGCAAAAAACAAAAACAGCCAGGGTGGAAGGGCAGGCCGTTTAGCTTGAACAAGGGCTCTTCGAGGACCCCCTCAACTCCCAAGAGCCAGCTTCCTGAGAGCCAGCTCTATCAATGGTCAGCGCCTGGCAGGGGTTGGGGGTTACAGTCTGTATTTTGTGTCACTTAGTGCTGGTCTTGTCTAGTTTCCTGCATGTGGACATCGCTTAGTAACTGCTCATTAACTGGTTCCTTTTGCATCCTCACCTGAGTTGGTCACTCCTCTCCTATTTACCCTGAGGCTTAGGTCACCTCTTGCCTGAGTCCTCACCTGCTTCTTCCTCCCTGTAGTGCAAACCTGAGTGACTCCTACTTCACCAACCGCCAGGACCGCTACGTGTTCTTGCAGGACTGTGCAGAGATTGCCGACTTCTTTACAGAGCTGGTGGATGCGGTAGGGGATGTGTCCCTGCAGCTGCAAGGGGATGACACTGTGCAGGTGGTGGATGGGATGGTGCATCCTTACAAAGGTAGGGCCCAGCTCTGCTGCTCACTTGGCTTGTGGGGGGAAGGCTGTGAGAGCACACCTTTGGGAGGCCTTGCCCCAGGTGCAAGAGATGGGGTGCCAGGGCTTTCTTCTGCTTTTGATTCTGAAGCCAGAGCGTTGTGACTCAATGGCTATCAGTCATGCTCTGCATGCAAGATGTGGCTGGGGAAGGTGGGAGTGTGGGTTTGGGGCCTGTATGCCGGGCAGATGAGCCAGGAGCCTGCCCTATTCTTGCAGGAAGCAGCCTGCCCAGTGACTGCCCTCCTCAGCCTGTTCCCCAAACCTCCCATCACAAAGACCTTGTGGCTCTCAGCTCCATTGAGGTCTGTGGCCTCCTGTCTGGAAAGTGAAATGGGAGAGAGCTCTTAGCTCTGCTTGCTAGAGACAGGCAAGTCCTGGCGCAGCATTCCTGGGCATTTGCATTCCTGTGATTCCTGTGGCTGTGGCTTCCCATGGCCCTTAAAGGGCTGCTGCTGAGTTTCCGGCAATGTCCACAACTTGGGCAAGGGGTTAAACCTGGACCTTGTAAGAAGGGCTCCCCATTTCCTGTGCACTTAGCATGGTAGCATCTAAGTGGACCTCCTGGTGGAAGAGCTGCCCTGTGCCAAGGAGCTGTGGCTGCCTAGCCCAGCTTCAATCATATGGCATTGCTGCCAGCTGCTAGTGGGATGCTCAGGTATTGCCATTGTACTTTTTTTCCAGTACTATGGGTTGAACCCAGGGCCACTCTACCACGGAGCTACATCCCCAGCCATTTTTTTTTTTTTAATTTTAGTACCGGCAATCAAACCCAGGACCTTTGCACTGAGCTATGTCCACAGCCTGTTTAAATTTTTTTGTTTTTTAGATTTTGAGATAGGATCTTGCTACTTTGCTAAGTGGTCCAGGCTGGGCTTGAACTATGATCTTCCTGGCTCAGCCTCTCAGAGTGCTGGGATTACAAGCCCCCATGCCCAGTTGATTTCCAGTCTTTTCTTGTGTACTAATAGCACCTGCAGTTGTGTCACCAGTGTCCTGTCCAGTTATGAAAGGTATCCACTTGGAGCCCAGAGCCTGCCTCTGGGGACTCCATGAGTTGCCTCTAGGAAAGTAGTAACGCCTGTGCCTATCACTCATTTTTATTATTCTGTTAACACATGTATTTATTTGTAGTGCTGGAATCAAACCTGGGTCTGCCACTGAGCCACACCTCTAGCCCTGCATGAACTTTCTCTTGAAATGTAACCTACATACCTAACACTAGTCCAGAGATGTAGCTCATGGTGGATTGCTCCCTGAGGTCCTTTCCAGGGGTGGGGTGCAGCCGTCCTGCAGTCACCATCCTGACTTCTGTTATCCCGAATTCATCTTGTCTGCTTTTGGAATCATGTTTAGACGTGTCCTTCCTCTCTGCGTATAGGTGCTGTGGGCAATATTCTTGGCTTGGGCGGCTTCCCTGGAGGAAGTTTGCTCAGGGCTTTGTGCCTTGAGTGCTCTCAGTGTGTGCTGCACAAGTGATCATTTGTAGCATTGGCACTTGCCCGTCACATGCATGTGCCCTGTGCCAGCAGTGTCCTGACTGTCCGTCTTCTCTTTCTCATTTTCTGTAGGTGACCGGGCTGCTTACTGCAAGGCGGCCAATAAGCGGGTTATGGATGTGATCCACTCAGCCAGGACCCGCCAGCAGATGCTGCATGCCCAGACCTTCCACAGTGACTCCTTGTTGACCCAGGAAGAGGCAGCAGCCGCTGGCGATCGGAGACCAGCGCCCGACACTTGGATTTATCCGCTGATCCAAATGAAGCCCTTTGAGATCCAGATTGACGAGATTGTCACCGAGACCCTGCTGACTGAGGCTGAGCGAGGTGCCAAGGTCTACCTCACCACTGGCTACTTCAACCTGACCCAGGCCTACATGGACCTGGTCTTGGGCACACGGGCTGAGTACCAGATCCTGCTGGCCTCCCCAGAGGTGAATGGCTTCTTTGGGGCTAAGGGTGTGGCTGGTGCCATCCCAGCAGCCTATGTCCACATCGAGCGGCAGTTCTACGGTGAGGTGTGCAGCCTGGGGCAGCAGGAGCGGGTCCAGCTACAGGAGTACTGGCGGAGGGGCTGGACGTTTCATGCCAAAGGTACGCAGGTGTCAGCAAGGCTCCTCTCTTCTCCACCTAGGCAACTTATCATTTCCTGGCAGGGGCCAGGCTGGCTGGACTATTAGCACAATGGAGAATGCAGCATGCTGAGGGGGTGCTGGCTGCCCTTTCTCCTGTTTGTCTTCCACAGCTCTCTCACAATGTCACGGTGGTCCCAGGTCCTGGAGCGGGGAGAGCTGTCCTATTTAAATGAATTTCAGTTGTGTAAAATCTCTCCCTTTTATATGTCAAAAAATTATAGAAATCATTTTGGTGGCTATTTTAAAAAAATGTGGTACCCAGATGTGGTGCAAACCTGTAATCCCAGTACTCTGCGAGGCCGAAGCAGGAGGATTACAAATTTGAGTTCAGCCTGGACCACTTAGCAACTTAGTGAGACCTTGTTTCAAAATAGAAAAGGGCCGGGGATATAGCTCAGCATGAGAGCCCTGGTTCAGTCCCTAGTACCTTAGAACAAAAACAAAAAACCAAATATAGTATATGTAATCTCTAAAATACAGGGCTAGAGCTGGGCATGGTGATACACACCGGTAATCCCAGCACTCAGGAGGCTGAGGCAGGAGGATTGTTGCAAGTTCGAGACCAGCCTGGGCTCCAAAGTAAGCTCAAGGCCAGCCTGAACTGCATAGCGAGACCCTGTCTCAAAAAAGACAAAAAAAATAAAAATCAAATAAAATATAAAATACAGGCAAGGACATGACTTAGTTTTATCTCTATCATGATACTCCTTCTTGTTAGCATGGCAGAGTTCCTTGGGGATCGTTGGCTTAACATTTAAACAGCCCATTTTTCTTATCTTTCCTTCACCATTGCTATTTTTTTCTTTGTGTGCTGATCTTCATCCACCCACCTCATAATTGAGAAAATGGAAGCTATGTGTTCAGTGTACAGTTTCTACTTAATTGGAGTCCTAGATACTTGATGTATAGCCCTGTGGTGGGAAATGAATTATAGTCTGAATTGCATGTTTATTGTGATCCGTCTCAGGCATCCAGTAGAGCAGCTCAGGTGGGGCACATTCTCAGGTGCACCTCCCAGAGCAATGGATCACTGTGTTTAAAATATTGTATTTAGGGGCTGGGGATTTAGCTCAGCGGCAAAAGCGCCTGCCTGGCAAGCGCAAGGTCGTGAGTTCGGTTCCCGGTACCGGAGAAAAACCAAAAAAAACAAAAACAAAAAAAAAAATATTGTATTTAGCCAAGTGTGGTGGTACACACTTGTAATACTAACTGCTTGGTAGGCTGAGGCAGGAGAATGGCAAGTTTGAGACCAACCTGAACAACTTAGTGTGATTCTAACTCAAGATAAAATGAAAAGGTTTGGGAGTGTAGCACTTGTCCGGCATGTATGAAGCTCTGGGTTTAATCCTCAGCATCAAATCAATCAGTCAGTCAATCAGTCAATCCAGCCTCATGTTTGGCAACCCTCAAAGCCCCTTGGTGGTGTGCACTACCCACCTCTAGCAGGATAAGCATGTTCAGGGAACTCCCTTGCTGGGTGTGGGCCTGGTCCTGTGCCTGAAGAGGTATAGAAAACATCTGGGGCTACTAGGCTGTGAGTTCTGTATGTAGCTCTTCTGCCTTCACTCAGGGTAACCCTGAGGCCAGGCTGTCGTGGACACATATTGGTGCCTTTTAGACTTAGGGTATTTTGTTTTTTTAGATGGAGTCTTACTATGCTGCCTAAGCTGGTGCTGAATTCCTAGATTCAAAGATCTCCTGTCTCAGCTCAGTGTGCTGGGACTATGTGCATGTGCCACCACCCCTGATTAAAACCAGGGTTTTCAACCTGGGTGCTTTTTAAGAAATTACCAAAGCCCATCATACACGTGAGTCTAGCTGTGTGGATTTTGAACTTAGCCTGGTGTTACTATTTTATTTTTTTGAGACAGGGTCTTGGTCTATAGTCCAGGTTGGCCTGGAACTTGCTGTGTAGCCCAGGCAGGTCTGAGGTCACGATCCTCCTGCCTCAGACACCCGTTTTAGGATTACAGGTGTGGAACATCACACCCATCTTAATAGGTATTTTAATTTAATTAATTAATTAGTTTATAAATTTATCTGCTCTACTGGGAATTGAACCTAGGCACAGTGATGGTGAACCTTTTAGAGCAAACAGCTGGCTGAGGCATACATGTTATAGATTCACTATCCCTGATAGGGCCTTGTGCATGCTAGGCAAGCGCTCAACTGTTAAGATGTATCCCTGACCTTTTTTTTTTTTTTTTTTGTCTTTTTGAGACAGGGTCTTGCTGTGTGGTTCAGGCTGGCCTTGAGCTTAGTTTGTAGCCCAGGCTGGTCTTGAACTCGCAACGATTCTCTTGCCTCAGCCTCCTGAGTACTAGGATTACAGGCATGTGCCACCACACCCAGCTCTCCCTGGCCTTTACTAAAAATTTTTAGAAGTTTTGAGACAGGTCTGTCTGAGTGTTGTGGATTGGCCTCAGACTCTTGCCTCAGCCTTCTAGGTGCTATGATTATAGGAATGTAGGCATATGCCACCGTTCTGGTTCAACCATGGTTTTATTTTTACTTTATATATATATATATATATATATATATATATTTAATTTTTTAATTTTCTATTTTATGTTTCACTTTATTTTTGGTACTGGGGAATTGTTTGTTTGTTTGTTTGTTTATTTGTGTCATTCTGAGATAGGGTTTCACTATGTAGTCCAGGCTGGCCTTGAACTTACTGTGTAGCCCTGTCTGGCCTCGAACTCTCAGTGATCCTGGTGCCTCAGCCTCCCAAGTGCTGGGATCACAGGTGTGCACCACCATGCCTTTTTATTTATTTTCTGAGACAGAGTCTTACTAAGTTGCTAAGTTATCCGTGCTGGGCTTGAACTTGTGATCCTCCATTCTTAGCTTTGGAGAGTGCTGGGATTTATATGTGTGTGCCACCATGCCTGGCTTTTTATTTATTCATTTATTGGATACTGGGGAATGAGCCCAGGGCTTGTGGATGAGGCAAGTGCTGCACTTCTGAGCTACATATTCAGATTATTAAAAAACTTTTTTTGGCTGGGGATTGAACCCAAGACCTCACACATACTAGATAAGAACTCTACATCTGAGCTATACCCCCTGACCCCTGCCATGGTACTTTTTAAACCCATGGAGATGCAAAGCTATAATCCTCACACTTGGAGGCTAAGCCAGGTGTTCACATGTTTAAGGACAGTCTGGGAGACATACATAGGGAGATGCTGTCTCAACAAAGCCAAAATAGAAAAAAACAGAGCAAACCCACCCCAGGAGATTCTGATTCCTTGCCTAGAGAGACCCCATCTCAGCCTAGGATGGTGGAGCTGCTGGCCTGGCTCCTGCCTGAGCGGGTCGTGCGTGTGCTTTGAGGCCTTGAGTCTGCCCAGGCAATCAGCATTGTCTGTCATCTTGGCATGGCATAGGCCAAACCAGGCTGGTGGGTATGTGTGGAAACGATTTTCAGGTTGGCCTCGTTACTTCTGGGAATCATGACAGTGCTCAGTGCAGGGTCTGGGGAAGAGCTTTGAGCCTTGGAAAGGTGCTGCACACACTGCACAGCCATGCAGAGGTCCGGCTAGACTGCGCTTTTCCTTGGTGCGCCGTGGCCTCAGGCCCCAGCTTGGCCTGCAGGTTGGTAAGCTCCTGCCCTCGAAGTTCTGACTCTGCTGCTGGTTGTTTCCCTGAAACGGGCTGACAGATGTGTGGTGAATGCCCAGTTGCTGTTGAGGCAGAAACACCCAACTGGCTTTTCCCGTGTGCCACGCCTTTTCCCGAACTGTGAGCTTCTGCCGCTTATTCCCTCCCTCCTGCCCGCCCTGGTACAGGTGCAGCCCTGCCATCTGGGAGTGCTAATTGGTGGGTTGGCGGGGAGAAATCTCCCAAGTGGGTCCCAGGGCACACAGGAGTATGTGTGTGGCAGGGGTGGTGCAGTAGACACAGGTGCAGGGTAAGGAGTGAATGGCTAGGGTTCTCGTAAGCAGAGTATTGTTGTCCTAGAGCCAGGAGTCAGAAGTCAGAGATCACTCTGCTGAGGTGAGAGGCCAGGCTCCTTCTGTGCTTGGGGCTGTGCTGCACAGTAGAATCTGAAGTCAGCAGCCTTTCCTGGCTTCCCCACTGATGGTCATGTCCTCTGAATCAGCCTGCATTGGGGGAAGAAGAACAGGCAGCCTGCATGGTAGTTGTGGGTTTGGATGGTAGCACAGTGGACTGTAGTATTATTTCCTGCAAGGCCTGTGCTAGGTACAAACCGTGGGCCTAATTGAGTGTGTCTGTGTTTGGGCCCCAGAAATTCCTGCTAATCACTGTGCAGCTTATACCTGGATTCCCTTACCTGAGCTCCTGCAGGACAGGCCCAGGCTGATCTCACCTCCTCCTGCTCCCAGAAACCCTTGGGCAGAGGGGAGTGAGCTAGGACACTGGATTCCAGATCCTTATACCCTGGCTGCATCCCGTTCGTCAGCATTCCATTCCCTGCGAGTCAGGCCACAGAAATATGGGGGACTATGTGTTGGTTTTGCTGGTGGCTTTGCTAGAAAGATTGGTTTGGTCCCTGCCCCGGGGAAGCTCACAAGGCAGTGTAGGGGAGAGACAACTTTGTCGTGGGAAATGACCATACCAGTGGGTTTGAGGGCAGCTGATGGCAGGGAAGGCTGAAGGCTGGGGCTTACTTTTAATGTTCTCTGTATTACCAGACATTGCTGGGAATAGCTGGTGTTTGCTCAGATGCCTTGTTGGAAAGATCCTATGTGACACCATTTGCTGAAGCAGTGTTTATTCTGTTCGGCAACTTAAGTGGAGGTTTACCTTATTTATATACTTTGCTGATTTATCAGACATGAACTTTTTTTTTTTTTTTTGGTCTTTTTGAGACAGGGTCTCCCTATGCAGTTCAGGCTGGCCTTGAGCTCACTTTGTTTTTTTTTTTTTTGTTTGTTTTATTTTTTGTTTTTTTCTGGTACTGGGAATCTAACTCACAACCTCGTGCTTGCC